GTCCCAGCTACTTGGGAGGCTGAGGCAAGAGAATTGCTTGAGCCCAAGAGTTTGAGGTTGCTGTGAGCTATGACGCCATGGTACGCTACCCAGGGCAAAAGCTTGAGACTCTGTCTCTCTCTCACACACACACACACTAAAGTAAAAAGATATATATGTGTGTATGTCCCATGGGCACGTGGACATGAAAGAAGGTCTAGAGTCTGAGGAAGAGGGTTGGGTGGAGATAGGCAAAGGTTAGAGGGTGTAGAGTGGACCAGACACAGACTAAGGATCAGATTGAGTAGGGGAGTATGAAGGTTATTCCTGCAGATGAGCTCTGTGATGAGGGAGAGGAGGCCCGTGACTTTTGGGGCAGACAGTGGGTGGGTCCATAAGCCCTATACTTTCTTTAGAAAGGCCTGTAGTAAGAAGGATTCTGGCCTCTTTCTGCAAAACTGGAGGGCTAGATGGGGTAAGGAGCTGGCTGACAATGGAGACTGAGTTATAAGTTGTTTTATATTCTATACTTAAAGGTTTGGTTGATGCTCAGAGACCATCCAGGATAGTGAAGGAGCTGGGTTCTAGTCCCTGATATGGTTTCCTCCCCTTTTCCACATGTCAGAAGAGAAGGGGATGATCTGCCACTCTAGTCAGAGTCCCTTAGCAAGCTCCCTTCAGAGTACTGTGTAGCAGGTCGTCCTGGTTGCATAAAGAACCAGTAGTTGACCTGCAGGCTCAGCCCCTCTGTACAACTCATTAAGTTAGGAATGTGTGAAATACTTAATAATTTAAACCCTATTTGACCAATATCTTTCTAAATATGTACATGTCGTCAGACAAATTAGTGGCAAGTTATTCAATAAATTAATTTTCTAAAATAGTTCATAATTGGTTTGACGTTATTTACCTCTTAGTGTTTGCTTTCCGTGGAAAATATTAATGTCACATTCTCTAAAATCTTGAAAAGACCAAAATATACCTCGAAATTCCAAAACTCTACTATTTAACTTAACACTGAAAATGTACACCTAAGCTATTAATTCTTGGACAGTAATATCTGATATTTATTATGTATTGCTAATGTTTGATGCAAATATGAGCCCTATGAGGTGAGAGCCATTTTCTTATCCTCTGTTTACAGAGGAGATTACTGAAGCTCAAGGAGGGTCAGTTCTGTTCTTGAGTCATGGAGCAGCCCTGAGGCAGCACTGAGGTCTGAGGAGCTGAATTTGTACAGTCAGTTTCACATCAGCTTGCTACAGAGCAAGGCAGAAGAGGTGGTAGTCCATCTTAACCTGCAGGATCCTACTATGGTTGCCCATTTCTCACAGCTTCTTTGTTTCCGCAGGGTGCCCTGGTGATGGCAGAAATGGAACCTGTACAGGTGAATAGAGGGATTCTTAATTCTCACCTACCCTAATTATCCCATGAATGGATTTCGTCCCTCCACTATAAGGAAAGGTGGTGTCCTGAGACCCTTTCCTGTTCTTCTTCCTCTCTTATGTCTGAAGACTGTGTAATTCCACAAGGCTCATTATCCTAAATTTAATCCTGTTTTATTTGGAGGGGTTCCTTTTTTGATAATTGATGTGGTAAGATATGTCAGGATGTCCTAGGCACAGGATTAATATTGTTTCAATGCTTGGATATGAGACTAAACTGTGATTTTCATGGAACTGCAAGTCTCATATCTGGTAGGAATGAGGAACTGAGAGGGAGTTGGCTAGAGGTACACAGACACCAGGCATGGGGTGATAGCTTAAGATTCTGGGCCTGTAATTGGAGGGTGGTGGGATGTAGGGAACATTTGATGTGGTCCTGATTTAAAAGTCTCCCCCTGACTTCACAGTGGAGGACAGACTGTGGAGGTGAAGGTAAAGGCTGGGGGACCCAGGAGGGTGTTCTTGAATCAGACCAGGTGGATGTTGGTGGTGGCCGGACAAGAGTGGTGTCTGTGGAGGTGAGAGGAATGATTGGCTTTGGGTTGCATTTTTTTTTTTTTTTTTTGAGATAGAGTCTCACTGTGTTGCCCTTGGTAGAGTGCCAACGTGTCACAGCTCACAGCAAGCTCAAACTCTTGGGCTTAATTCTCTTGCCTCAGCTTCCCAACTTTGGGTTGAATTTTGAAAGAGAGCTACATTGTATGAGATGGAGAGTGTGGGAGCTGGGAGGTGGGATGGAAGAGCGGTCAGGGGTGGCCCTGTGTTTTTTTCTTGTTTCAAAGGACAGATGCTCCATCATTTAGGATGTGAGAAATCAGCACTATGAGGAATCTTCAAAAAGAATGAGGAGTCAGTTTTTGTCCATGTCATGCATATTACAGAGACTCCTACTGGAGGAGTTCAGTTTGGAGACATCTACAACATGGCAGCTGTTCTATGGATGGCATGAAATTGTGGATCAAATCCACCAACCTGGAGGTGGAACTTCCAGGTTGTGGTGGCAGTGCCATTCTAAGATAAGGAATAGGACTGAGAGGTCAGAGAACCATCTCTCTACTGAAGCAGTCTACCTCTTCTGGCAGGAGGAGTGAATGGATGCCCTAGGCCCTGGCACTGGGTACTTAGGGAGGATGAGTCCAAATTTGATTTTCTGGGAGGCCAAGTTCTGGGGCTCCAGGAAAACTGATTGGTCTGTGTGCAAGATACACTGGTCATTGGAAGCATGGAGAAAAAGGTACCTATGCCACCAAGACCCAGTATCTCCTCCACAAGGGGAAGTTGTAGGGGAGAGGGACTGAAATCCTGGAGAGAGGCAGTGATTGTGCCCATGGAGTTTTAATTTATGGGTGTGAGAATGATGACAGGGACCAGCCAGTGACATGGAAAGAAAATATTTATTTCTTACATTTCCTCCAGGAGGGGTCACGGGGCTACTGAAGCACCAGAGTTGGTTAGGAAGCAGAAGACAGAAATGAGGTGACAACTGGGACCATTGCTTCTGTTAAGGTTCCTGAGGGAAGGACAAAACCATGCAGGTGACCAGCTGAAACCTGGCTAGTTTGAATAATTCCTGCACACTTGGGGAGGGCAGTGGTTGTCACTAGGTAGATGTGTGGTTCCTGTCCCTGGGTCATTGTAGGACAAAGCAAATATGGGTTTGTTCTGAGAAAGATACGGAGGTAGTTCAGAATATGGGTTCTGGATGGCAGAGGGAGGAAAACAAATTCAGCTATTAGTGTGGCCCTGTATTTAGTGGGCAGCAAATAGATGAATAGATAATCTAAAATCTAAGTAAATGCAATTTGAAAAAGCTACTTAGGTACTGTACTAAACTGTCCCAATTTTGGCAGGGCCGTGTGGTCTTTGAGGATGTGGCCATATATTTCTCCCAGGAGGAGTGGGGGCACCTTGATGAGGCTCAGAGGTCACTGTACCGAGATGTGATGCTAGAGAACATGGCGCTTCTGTCCTCACTGGGTAAGGTCCTCATACCCACCCAGCATCCTGGGTTGGGCTGTGTCTCCCCATTTTTATCTAAGTGTAGCTCTGCCTGTCCCACAGTGAGACCATGGGTGCTGCTTCTTTTCCTGGCTTTCTGGCACATGTGCTATGGGATGCAGGCCTGGGCTGGGCGCTCTGTACCCCTCTTTCCTCCCAGCCTCCTTCCCTGCTGCTCTGAGGCTCACAAGCCTCAGGGGTCAGACATCTTGAAGTTCCATGGTTTTCTCACTAGCATTGTGTCCCTGGCCTGGTTACTCTTTGTCTAACCTCTGTATTCTAGGTTGTCCCTTGTTCTTACCAATATTGCTGGCTTTGTGTGCCAGGCATTTCAAGAACTGACCTTGTCAGTATTTGGAGACCGCTGGCTTGATTTTTATAGGACTTTCTGTGAAGTTCTTATGATTACAGGATGTGGGATGCCACGGGGTGGATTTCTCTAGGTGTGTGGTGTCTACTCCCTTTCTCTAAGATTGGCCTCTCCCATGTCCCAGACATTGTTATCTCAGACAAGGGGTAGGGCTCGGGGAACCTTAGAGGGTGGACATTACTTCAGTATTAGCAATAAAGGCTCAAAGGGACATGGGTCTAATGTCTGGGAGTCAGGAAAGGATGTACTGTCAGAACTGGGTTTAGATCACACTGGTTACCTATCCTGTGCTCACCACTGTTTGATGGCAGGGCCCCTGTTTACACCTCATTTCTGCTTTTTCTTCCCCATTGGCATTTCTAGTTTGATTTCTGGCCCCTGGTTACCCTCTCCCCTCTCCCCCGCCCCCCACACATACCACAGCTCCCAGTTCTGATGTTGTGTGTTCTTTGCAGCTTCTGATCAGAGACGCAGGGGAAAGCATTGCAGACGGAATGATGATTTAAGGGAGATTGGGACTCGCTCTGGTCGGTGGCCCAGCTAAACTTTACTGATTACCTTATATACTTTCAAACATTCAGTAAGAATTTAACACATATACAAAGAGGTGAAGTGACATTAGGAAGCTACCATTTAAGATTACAATTTAGTGTGAAGGCTGAGGAACACATATACAATTGATTTTGTTTAGATTGTAAAAACATAATGGAGACTGGCTTTCTGTTCCTTTTAGCCCAAATGGAACTAGAGATTATAATGTTAATGAAGAGAGAAGGCAGAGAATAGAACCCAATGCTTGAAGACCGGTCTGTTCACCCCCAGCCCCGACCTTGGCTGATTTTCCACACCTCCTAGGGAGAGAGTCACTGCATATTCCTGCATATCTATAGGCAGGTACAGAAGCTCGATCTTCAAAGAGATGCTTCTCAAAACCAATCTCCTGAAGGAGCACATTGAGGCAAGCTGCCATGTCTTGAGCAAGGGGAACTTATCTCCTACACAGTTCTGTGGCCCCAGCCCCCTCCTCTCACCTGTTCTCTTCCACTTTTCCCCTTGCAGTGCTCTCCAGTGTGTTACAGGTGTCATAAGGTCTGTGTCCCTCAGTCCTTTGACACCATCTTCTCTGTTATCAGATTTCTCTGGGTCTGGACATAGCCTCCACACTGTTCACCAGTCACCAGCAGCCATAATCATTTGCAGAGGAATGAGTTGGAGACTCGCCTCTCCTCCCAACACTGCACCCCTCCCTGTTTCCTCACCTGTTGTCAGGGCTCTTAATCATAGACACTTGCTAGGCCTAGCTCTGCACAGCTGATCTTCTTCTCACTGGCTCCTCTGTCTGTGCCTGTCAGCAATCCCATGGCCTCATTTATGGTTGTATCTGACAGGCGTTTGTGTTGGGTCTGCCTTCTCCCACCAGAGTTAACAAGCACTTCATTAGTATTTCTCTGCTTTCAGGTTGTTGGCAAGGAGCCCAGGGTGCAGAGGCATCTTCAGAACAAGGTGTTTCTATGGGAATGTCACAGGTTATGACTGCAGTGCCCCATGTATCTACCCAGAAGATCCAGCCTGAGGAGACATGTAACCAACTCTTGAGAGACATTTTGTACCTGGTTAAGCACAGCGGAATACTTCCTGAGCAGGAGATGTATATTTGTGAAGCAGAGCTTTTTCAGCACCGAAAACAGGAGATTGGAGAGGATCTTTCCAGAAGGGAGGACAATTGGAGACCTTCATTTGAAAAGAACCCTAGAGTTCACGTGGCAAAGAGGACCACATGCAGCGAGGGTAGGAAGGACTCGCTGGCCCTCTCTGGCTTTCTGCAGCACCAGGCCCCTCAAAGTGGATGGAAGCCCTTCAGGGACACAGAGAACAGGGAATTATTTCTAACTGGACAAAATGATCACAAATGCAGTGCCTGTGGGAAAACCTTCAACTTCAAACATGCACTTATTGAGCACCAGAAAATGCACAGAAGAGGAAGGCCTTATGAGTGCAACAAATGTGGGAAATTGTTTATGTATGGTGCCAACTTCATGAAACATCAGACAGTTCACAGTGGTGAAAGGACTTATGAGTGCAGAGAATGTGGGAAATCTTTTACATACAACTATAGACTCGTGAGACATAAGAGAGTTCACACTGGAGAAAGGCCTTATGAGTGTGACATATGTGGGAAATTCTTTAGGTACAGCTCTACATTAGTAAGACATCAGAGAGTTCACACTGGAGAAAGGCCTTATGAGTGCAGGGTGTGTGGGAAAGCCTTTAGCCACAAACATATACTTGATGAGCACCAGAAAATTCACAGTGGAGAACGACCTTATGAGTGTAGTGAATGCCAGAAAGCCTTCATTAGGAAGTCTCACCTGGTTCATCACCAGAAAACCCACAGTGAAGAGAGGCTATGTGCTCCCTGAATGTGGGGAGTTCTGTAGTTACAACTCCAGCCACATTGAATATCAGAGATTTCACAATGGAGAAACGTTGCCATTGACTATTTTAAATGGGTATTTCATTAATGTTATGTAAATTCATATTTTTATGTAATTTATGTCTAGAACTTATCTTGCAAAAATGAAACTCTATAGCCATTGAACCACAACTTCTCATCCTCCTTTGTTACTGTTCCTGGCAACTTCGAAACTGCATTACTATACTGTGTATCTGAATTCAACACTGATTAGTTCCTCATATAAGTGGGTTCATAGGTATTTGTGTTTTTGAGATCAGCTTATTTTACTTTGGATAATCTCAAGTGTATCAGAATTGGCTTCCATTTTTAGGTGAAATAATTTTCTATTGTACATATACACGTCACATTTCTTCATCCATTCATCTGTCAGTGGGTGCTTGGATTACTTCCACCTTTTAGCTTTTGGGAATAATGCTGCTGTGAATATTGAGTGTACAAATATCTATTGAAAACTTTGCTTTCCATTCTTTTGGAGTACATACCTAGAAAAGGAGATGCTGGATCATATAGTATTTCAATTTTTAACCTTTTGAGGAACTGTTTCTACCATCTTACATTCTTACCAACAGTATAGAAGGGTTCCAGTCTGTGCACTTCTCTGCCAACATTGTTCATTTTCTCATTTTTGTTTTTGTTCTTGATAGCAGCTATCTTATTGTGTGTGAAATGGAATCTCACTGTGCTTTTCATTTTTATTTTGCTGATAATGATGTGAGCAGCTTTTCATGTGATGTTAGGCATTTGTGTATCTGGAAAAGTATATTCAAGTCTCTTTTTAAAAAAAATTTTTCATGGGATTGTTTGCTTTTTGTTTAGTTATAGGAATTCTTTCTATATTCTGGATGTTAACCCCTTTACAAATATATGATTTTCAAAAATTACCTTCCAATCTGTAAGTTGTCTTTTTGCTCTGTTGATTGTGTCCTTTGATGAAATTTTTAATTTTTATATATAGGTGATTCTTTATCTGTGGGTTCAATCTCCATGGGTTGAACTAACCATGGATAAAAAATATTTTGTTTTTTGTTTTTTGTTTTTTTTTGAGACAGAGCCTCAAGCTGTCCCCCTGGGTAGAGTGCTGTGGCATCACAGCTCACAGCAACCTCCAACTCCTGGGCTCAAGCAAGTCTCCTGCCTCAGCCTCCCAAGTAGCTGAAACCATAGGCGCCTGCCACAACACCCGGCTATTTTTTTTGGTTGCAGCCGTCATTGTTATTTGGTGGGCCTGGGCTAGATTTGAACCCGCCACCTTAGGTGTATGTGGCTGGCACCGAGCCGATGAAAAATATTTGTATAGTTCAGGTATATATCAAGAGAGAAAAAAAAAGAAAAGAAACATGTTTGGGTCTGTACTGAACATGTACAGACTTTTTTCCCTTGTCCTTCTCTAAATAATATAGTATAACAACTCTTTACATATCATTTACGTTGTATTGTTACATTCTAGAGATGATTAAAAGCTATGAGAAGATGAGTATAGGTTATACGCAATAACCTATATGCCTTTTATATAATGGACATGAGCATCAGCAGATTTTTGTATCCACAGGGTATCCTAGAACCAATTCTCCAAAGATAGCAAGAGAAAGCTATCATCTAGTTTATCTATTTTTACCACTGTTACCTGGTTTTTTGTTGTTTTGATGCAGAATCTCATTGTCACTTGCCTAGAGAGCGGCAGCATCATCATAGCTCACTGCAGCCTCCAACTCCTGGGCTCAAGTGATCCTCCTGTCTCAGTCTTCCAAGTATCTGGGACTACAGGCATCAACACAATGGGTAATTTTTCTATTTTTAGTAGAGACAGGGTCTTGCTCTTTCTCAGGCTGGTCTCAAAATCCTGGCTTCAAATGATCCTCCTGCCTTGGCCTCCCAAAATGCTAGGATTATAGGCATAGCCCAGTTACTTGTTTGATGTTATATCCTGGAAATCATTGTCAAATTCAATGTCATGAAATTGTTTTCCCTATGTTTTATTCTAAGACTTTTATAGTGTATTTGTAAGATTTACATTTAGGTCATTGATGCATTTGAGTTCATTTTTGAAACAGTGTAAGAAAAGGGTGGGGAGCCTGTGGCCTTCAGGGTGCACCTGACCTTCTAGGTCTTTAAGTGCAGCCTTTTGACTAAATGCAGAATTTACAGAACAAATATCTTTATTTTTAATTATACATTTATGTTTATCTTTTATCTGTTTATTTTATTTTTAAAATGAACATATTATAACTACCAAAGAAAGAATAAAATAAATTTCAATGGAATAATCCCCCAAGATTGGCACAGTTAGAACATTAGTGAGCCAAGAAGCTAAATTGGGCTAGGCTCCTGTAGGGCAGTGGTTACAGCATCAGCCACATATACCGAGGCTGACAGGTTTGAACCCAGCCCTGGCCAGCTAAACAAGAATGATACCTGCAACAAAAAAATAGCCGGGCGTTGTGGTGGGTGCCTGTAGTCCCAGCTACTTGGGAGGCTGAGGCAAGAGAATCTCTTAAGCCTAAGAGTTTGAGGTTGCTGTTAGCTGTGATGTCATGGCACTCTACCAAGGGTGGCATAGTGAGACTCTGTGTCTCAAAAATAAATTTAAAAAGCTAAATTGATGGCTGCTACACTCCTGATTTAATTCCAACTTCTACCTGACTGGCCACATCAGGATGGTTGGTGAGAATTTATGGGGTTGAGTTCACCAGTGTGTTAACTAGTTTTTGACAACAGTGCACTGTGTGTGTTTGAAGTGGGATTTGTGAACAGTTGAATAGTTTGACAGTATTTTTTTTTTTAATTCTGTCTTCTTAACAGCCCATCATGTCAAGACCAAGAGAAGGCTGAGGGAAGAAAAGAATTTTTAATGAGGACTGGAAATTGCAATTTTATCTTGTTCATGCTAAAAATTTGCTTGCTTTGTGATCTGTAGTATCAATAATAAAGGAATCCAGTGCTCATCCCCATAATACTCATAAGGACCACAAATACTTTAAATTAGAGGGAGAGGCACAAAAGGTTGTATTGCAGAAATTAAAAGATGATAAGCAAAAGTAAAGACAATTTCTTCAAGTGAAAAAATTCATACTGTGTTTACTTGATTTTTAATATCAGAGGGTAGCCATAAAGTTCATGTGAAATTTAAAATAGTTTAACATAGTAAATTGCACACAAACTTTTGGTTGTGTTTCCATGTCAAAACCTACAAATCTATTACATATTTTTTTAAATTTTGAGATAGAGTCTCACAATGTGGCCCTAGGTAGAGTGCTGTGATGTCATAGCTCACAGCAACCTCAAACTCTTGGGCTCAAATGATTTTCTTGCCTCAGCCTCCCAAGTAGCTGGAACTATAGGCACCTGCCACAATGCCGCTAATTTTTGGTTGTAGTTTTCGTTGTTTAGCTGGCTCTGGTCAGGTTCAAACCTGCCACCTTTGGCTATGGGTGCCAAGCCTACAAATCTATTTTTTTAAATAGTTGAAGATATATCTCTTAATGAATACAATGTAACATATTTAATCCACCCATTATCATGGACATTTAGGTTGAGTTTTTTTCCACTTCCAACAATGGATGGATATGTTTGTACATATTTTTTATCTGTACTTGTAGGAACATACAGACTCATTTGGTAAGTGTTTTATCAGTCATCTAGGTATACAAATGATGGGATTGTTAAATGTGCTTTCCTTGGTTTGCAAGTAAACTTCTTTCCTTGTGGGTTCCCAGACACTGTTCATCTTAGAATACGTGTTTTCTCACGGACTTTACTTATTTGTCTCTTGGATAATTCGGATTTAGTTACTAACTGGCGTGAGCTCATCGGGTGGCAAAACGTTTTTCTCCAGTTTTTTGTTTACTTTTGGAGATTGTTTATGATGACAGGAAGCCAGAGGTCCGGGTTTCCCAGACCAGGCTCAAGGCCAGTGGAGTGCCTCCCAGTGCACCACCTGCTCTCCCCTGTTCCACAGGCAGTGATGATGAGGTTGAACAGAAGTATAGCCACCAGGTAGACCACTGACAGCACCTTGTTGTGGTCCATGGATGGGAGACAGCTGAGGCAGCAATAGATGAAGAGAGCTGCTGAGTAGAGATTCTGCCCACCATAGCCAGGTGGAATGCACGAAAATCAAGAAACATAAAATCCTCGTGGAAGGAAACAAATGAAACCCTCCCAACAGCACCAATAAGTTGAGGAAATTGAAGCTTGCAGGGGTGAATTAGAAAAGAACACGGTTGGGTGGTGCTTGTGTCTCAATGGGTAGAGTGCTGGCCCCATATACTGAGGGTGGTGGGTTTGAACCCGGCCCCAGCCAAACTGCAACAACAACAAAAAATAGTCAGGTATTGTGGTGGGCCCCTGTAGTCCCAGCTACTTGGAAGACTGAGGCAAGAGAATTGCCCAAGCCCAGGAGTTGAAGGTTGCTGTGAGCTGTGACACCATGGCAAGGGTGATAAAGTGAGACTCTTTAAGAAAAAGAAAGACTGCCAACTGTGTTTCTTGGAATTGAAATAACCCACCATAATACAGCCTATCTCAATACTTTCAGTTACCTACATACAGTACAGAAGGAATGACTGAAGTTAATTAACATGTGTACCATCCTAAATATTTTTCATTTATTCTTCCTTCTGTCCATTGACTGACATCTCCCCATCCCGTCCCAGCCCCTGATAAGCTCCATTCTACTCTCTGCTTCTATACTTTGAATTGTTTTCAAATTCCACATGTGAATGAGAAATGCCTGGCTTATCCCACTTAGCATAATGTCCTCCAGGCTCATTTATGTTGTAGAAAATGACAGCATTCTTCTTTTTTTTTTTGAAGCTGAGCAGTTTCCCATTGCGTATCTGCCACATTATCTTTCCATTCACTATAGACACCGTGGGGTGATTCCAGATCTTGACTATTGCAAGCAATGCTGCATTCGTTATCTATTTATG